CTACACATATTTTTTTATGTCAGTTCCTTGGGAATATGAGTACAGCTCTTGCCATAGTGGTGTTGAGATCTGATTCTTTAAAAAAATGAAGTCTAATAAATCCAGTGTGCCCAGGAATATTAAAACAAACAAAAAATATTATAAACTGACTGATGATGTTTCTAAATGAGCACATATGCATAGTGTTGGCTAAAATATGCTGAAGGAAGCTGAAGTGTTGCCTCCCATGATGCTAAACAAGTCACTACTGCTGAAGAAGGGAGATTTGGTCCTGAGGCAGACCTGCTGCAGATGATATGTTTGGGACACAGATCCAAGGGTCCTTTTGAGACATAGAAAACTCCTCAACAGCACCAGCATTGCCTGTTTGGCTAATGAATGTGCAGTACTTGCAAGTGAGTAGTGATTTGCTTTGAATTAAGGCATAGAGAAAGCCAGTGTATTGATAAAGCTTTCAAAAGGTGCCAGAGAAATTAAAAAACATCTTTCAGCAGTTACCTGAATTTATGACAATAAGAGTGGGATAAAAACCAAAATAATTTCATTTTCTCTTTCACAAAGTACTTCTACTTTTCTCCCAAGAACAACCCGATCCTGTTTGTGCTATGCAAGGCCCCAGTGACATTGCACTTCTCCACAGTTCCTTTTTTCCTTTGTTTCCCTTTGAAACATTTTCAGGGGTACTGATAGTTTAAACCCATACAGAGCACAAAAAGAACTCACATCTCTATGATACAAACAATTTTATTATATATAAATTATCACAATGTTAATTCTAGAGGAAATCCATTCATATTATTTATTATTATGGCAAAGACTGATGATCTTTCTCTGGGGTAAAACAACAGAACAGGGTCCACCTTTCAGTGATGGCCTCTATTAGAAACTGTTATGAAATGTTAGATAAGAGGTAAGAACAGAGCCTGTGCTATCAATTATGGATTTTACTGAAGCAGAATACCAGCAGGACTGTCTTGCACTGTGAGGCTGCTTTTGGAAGGCTGTTCGAGCAGTTCCCTCTAACAGGAGCAGAGGGAGCTGAGTTTCAGGGCTGAGCAGAGCCTGGTGTGCAGTCTGGGCCGTGCTGAAGCAGCCTCTAGCTGCAGCCACAATGGTCCAGAGCAGCTGGAACAAACCAAGCCAGGTGTTCAGAGGCTGCAGTTTCAGTTTCCATGGGAACACAGACTGGCTCCTCACAGAAGGCAAGGTGATTTCAACATTTTTAATGGGTATGATTTGGGATAATTTGCAAGCCCCTGACATTTCCTACATGGAAATGCAGAGATCCATTCATATGGAATTAGAACAGTGGGCAGAGCTCAGCTGCTGAATCATGTCTGTTTTAGCCATGGTTTTCCTCTGGCAGTGGTTTCCTTGCTGCTCTGTCCCCAGGCTGTGGGGCTCAGTTGGACACCAGGAGCTGTTGGAGTTTGGACATGGCTGCACTGCAGCTGTTGTTTGAAGCTGTGTCTCAGATGTAACGATTCTGGAGGCTGGGAAGGACTGCACCAGTGCCTTCCAGTCTCCACTGGCATTTGCCAAACTACCATTCTAAGGGATCACAATATGCCTGAGGACTTCTGAACAGTACAACCAGCTCAACATTGGGATTATCTGAGTATTCAGCATTTCTTTGTCTTCTGCCTTAATACTTTCCATGGACTCCCTCATACTCTCGCTATGTAGAATAAAAGGTTTACTGTCTTCTTAATCAAAAACATTTCCTCTGAAGAATGTCTTGCTTGGTGTTGTGGATGAGCACAAAAATGTTTGTAGATGCTATTTTCGTATTTTGCCTACTGTCAAATCCAAACTTGCCACCCAAATCCCTTATAAAAAGCTTTGCTTGAAGTAGTATATAGTTAAAAATAAAATGAAACTTCCATTCTAAAGAATGAGAAAATTCGAGGGCTTTCAAAACAGTGTTTTTTTTAAAAAGTCAAGACTTATCCTTCTTACTACAGAATGGATTCAAATGGTACATTCTGCTGCCAAACAATTTAATTACTGGTGGAAAACCCTCAGGAAGTGTGTTCTTGGCATTACCAAACAGAACGGCTGATTTTACACCTCTAAGAGCAGTGGTGGAAGGAGATGCAGCGGCTGTCAGGGAAGAGTTCCACTTAAGGCTCCTTGTTGATACTGCTGGATTTCTGAGAGAACCTGTCAGGTCAGGCTGAAATCCCTTTAATGCTGGAGACAGGAACGTGACAAAACACACCAAGGCTGATGACACAGCAAGGCAGCTTGGGTCAGGTGCAGCTCTCCCGTGTGGCTCTGATGATCTGTGTGGTTAACCCTGATGGGCCAATAGCTGCTCGTGTCCTCGCCGGCCTAGGCCTGCTCCCCAGCGGTCTGCACCAGCCCAGTTCCATAATTAAGGTCATTAGTTGTGTTTTGGTTATCAGATTGGGATTATGGATAACTGAGGCCTTTGGGCCAGCTGTTAGCCACCACAGCCTTGATATCCTATTCCTGTGTAGAGCAGAGGGGATACAGAATTGTGTCCCCCTTCTAAAGCCCTGCAAAGCCCTGCACGGCACAGTGCCTCATGGATATAACCCAGTGCCACTGGGACCTGGGGGCAGAGACCCAAATTGACCCAAATCTGCTTCATCACAGCTGGGCTTGGTCTCACACCAGCTACTCTGGCAGCTCATCCAAGTTCCCGAACTGGAGAGCTGCTCTGGGCTGTTCTGAGGAGCTCACCCACAGCAGAGTGCTGATGGCGTTGAAGCGTGAGAGCTGCTGGGAGGTGACTGTGCTACACCAGAGCTCTTGGGTGGGATGGATGCAGGCACAGAGCCCAGCCTGAGGTTCAGTCAAATAATAGGCTTTGTGGCTGGAAACCAAACTAAAAATAACAAGAAAATAGCATAACATTTTAGAGGGCTAAAACACACTTGGTGCATTTTTATGAACCCCAACAGCAGCAAAGATGGTTTCAAAACACAGCTGTAACTTGGAAATAGTAACAGGAAACATTTAGGTTTGGAAGGACTGAGATAAAACACTTTAAAAAAGATCATTTTCTTTTTGGATACAGATCAAGTATGACTAGTGTCCATGCCCTCAAAATACATTTTTTCAAGGAATTTTCCCTTCTGGAAGAAAGTTTCACTCCTTTCTCCTCAACACTGTCTGCAAGTGAATCCTTGCATTTCTCCTCCCACTCTCATGCAATGATGCTTTCTTCCTGCTACATCTCTGACCTTCCAGACTCTCGTCTGCCCTCCTCTGCTTGCACTTCATTTTCTCTCACAGAGTCCCTGCATATTCCTGTCTTCTTCATACCACCAGGAAGGAACCTGGCAAATTCTTTTAAACACCAGCTACAAATTAACCACAGAGTGAGTAGGGGTAACTGCAGCCCCCAGCTGCTGCAGAGCTCTCTGAGCAGAGCCCCGAGTACTGCTGGAGCACAGGGAAGTTGCAAGACTTCCCCACCCCGGAATGATCTACCCGGGGGCTGCTGCTGGAGGGCAGCAGGACAACAGTACCCAGAGCAGTGTCAGACAGGCAGTTGGAAACCAGTAAGTCCTGATGTGTTGTTGGTGTGCACAGACAGCTTTCACAGAGGCCTTTCCTTTCCTTTCCTTTCCTTTCCTTTCCTTTCCTTTCCTTTCCTTTCCTTTCCCTTTCCTTTCCTTTCCTTTCCTTTCCTTTCCTTTCCTTTCCTTTCCTTTCCTTTC